CGAGTGGGCAAAACTTTTTGCAAACGGCTGTAGCGCTGGGGTAGAAATTGCAATGTTAATAACCAATAATAAATAGCCACGTTAATAACTGCTAATAACATATCTAGCAAGGACTTACTAAAAAGTCGGTGCTATAAATTGCTATAAATTGCAAAATTGCTCTACGTTTTACCCAGCAGACTGGAGCACACTTGAGCGCTTGAGCTTGAGCTCGGCAGGAGTGACATAAGATGACTCAAATTACATGAGTCAGATTGGCTTCACATCGGGCCGACACCTGAAAATTTTGACACGGTCAATCATTGAATCAACCGCGACGCGACCTAACAGCGTAGATGCTCTCTGTTGAAGCTCTTTGTGCACTTCAGTTCTGCTAAGTAATGACATAGAGGAAGATGAGATTGACAATAGTGATCTAGCGTTATAGTTATTAACATACTAGCATGCTAGAAATTCAAGCTAGCATATTTTTTACAGTTTTTAGCATTCATGCCATTTAGCTGATAATAACATATGCTAAATTTACCTCTCCGAGTATCAGAATTCCTAGCATATCTAGCAACATGAAAATAATTTCTACCCCAGCGCTACGATCCGGATTTTTGTGCACCGGCTCCAGCAGCTTTCACCGAAAATGTCGGAGGAGACTGCCGACATCCCATCAAAGGAAATTGATTCGTTTTGCCACTTAATAGGTGGAAAGCAATGGTATCGGTCCGCCTTTGCTCTGCGAACCTCGGAAGTGCGACGAGATGCAGTTCAGTGGCAGGCAGACATTTCGCTGACTCATATTAATGAAAATTTTAGCCGGTATTTCAAGGGGTACATACCTTTACCTTCGGTGAAGGAGAGACTTGATAAGCTGGCGTCGTAACTGAATCCATAGTTGAAGTGCAATTCTGATTTCATGCAGCGGCTTCAGACGCACCGGCAGCCCAGTCAATAGCTTTAACGTACACCTTGCTGAATTCGAATAGAGAAAAAAAAAAGAGGAGGGAGAAAGAAAAATACAACGCTACATACTGACGACGGGACTTGAACCCGCAGCCTTAGCTATGACCAATTTGAACAATAGTTCTCTATTGTCAAGGAGGTCATTTAATAGCTACGCAATTACCCTTCTGCCACGCCAGTATACCAAAAGTTTGGGAAACCGTTTATTTGACCCCCACATCCTGGCGTAGGCCGGCGGGCAGTGGGAATAGAAAGCACCAGAATTTATGGAGGGAGAAAGTTCAAGAAAGCTTCATTGAGAATCCGAGAGATTTTTTGAACGAGGCAATGGGGGGATGATTGTGAATTGACTTTGGACTGTGAATTTCTTGACTATTACTCTCCCCGTTTGCTTGTACCGATCAGCATCTAATCTGTCGTCGACCGCCCCTCAACGTACCTTGTCCGACTTTTCGTCCAACATGGAAGAGCGCCCTAGAAAACTTGGGTGCAAATTTAAGCTTTTATTCGTCGACGGCCCTTCTCTGACTCGCTCTTTGAAATGACAAGCTCGAGTCCATGCTTCTGCCTGCAGTCTCAAATTCCACGTAGCCGTAAAAGAACAGAAGAAGAACCAAGGCGAATATTCGAGGGTCTAGACTTTGGGAACTAGGTGCGCACAGCCTTGCATTTGCCGTTCAGCTTTTGGAACTGATCGTCAACTCCTTGACCAGTCCCGGCCTCTGCAACACCTCTACCGCCACTCAAACAGTGTCGAAACTGGCCTCCTGGATCTCGTCTCGCCAGCGCTCCCCTCGATAGGAACTCGCATAACTCATCATCACTATCCGCTGTTCATTCACACCCATTGGGGAAATACTTCTCTGCTCCTCACGCTAATCTCGTTTAAATATCTCAACGATCAAGGCTCACATAGACAAAAAAAAACTTTCTTGAACCTCACGGAGGCAGTGGCCAACCTTTAAAAAAAAAGTTCCCCGCGTGTATTCCATCGTTTTGAAGCCTAATCGTTCAATTTCCAAAAGAAAAAACAAAAGAAAGATATTTCTGCCGACTCGACCGACGTTCAGACTTAACTTGGTCCTCACATGCTACTACGGCGAATACTGGTTCTACGCAGGCTACAGGCAGGAGCACGTACGTCCAACACTCGCTCCCGACACATATATCTCCAGCGGTAGGAATTCCGGGCTGGAAAAGAAAGGCACAGCGACCGGATCCTACTAGAAAAGCTCAGCCAAGGTTTCAAGGAAAATTTCGAAGGGTTCTACGAAACAAAAGTTGGATAATTTCCGGGGTGCACTTCTATCGTGGTGAGCTGAGTCCATCGACGCTCCTTGTTCAATCCTCTGAGCAATCAAACCTTAGGGCCACTTGCGATGAGTTCGCCAGGGACAGCTCGCAAGGGCAGAGGACTGGACGAAATGCGAACTGGCAAAATGCAAGTTGACACAAGTGGTTGACCAAGTGACATCATTTGCTGGTCAGTACTCATCTTCGGCTATGCTAGCAATAAATGTTGACTATAATTTATGCAGAAATAGCGAAGAATGAACAGAGACTCAAAGTCAGAGAGGAAGGAAGACGGCGTTAGACGAGTCTAAGTTTAGATCATGTCCTTCACACCACTCAATCCAAGTCAATGGGCCCTAAAATCGACTCAATTACAACAAGACTAAATGAAGAATGAGCACGATGTTAGAAATCTCATTTACCTTGCTACGGCCTTGCATGTGCGCGGTACCATACGCTATGCAGACCGAGAAGGGTAAGTCTGCATCGCATCGCCGTCTGCTGTGGTAGGTATGTAGAATGGACTATGTAATGTTTTACTTGCTTGCTGGAATGTGGAGTACAAAGTTTGATCCTCGCGTTAGCCCAGGTCCTAAGGAGGACTCTTGACCAGCTGAAACAAGTCCAGGTATTCAGCGGTTTGTGGTCAAGGATGCTCAAGACATACCGAAACTGACCCGATATCCCAAAACCACTCAGACGAGTTGTCCTCCTTCCAGAGTCTCTGTCACTCTTAACACTCCTGATATGAAATTGGTAGACTGTGACGCTATCCGAAAATTTAGTGCAGGATAGAGTAGCTTAGATGGTACATAACAATCAAACCCAGTCAAGAGTTCACTTTCCGAATCCCCCTTCTCTCTGCAACTACATTTCGAGAAGACACCAGAACCAGTTTGATTCGTACTCCGCAATGAAAGTTGGCTGTGTCCGGGGGCAATCCTGTTGGCCAATTCTGGATGAACTGGTGGGCGTGGCGCCAACGAGTTTTGAAGAAGGTTGGACTCATCCAGCGTGGCCATTTCGCTTTTGAAGCATAAAGGTTAAATGACTGGGGAGGGCTTTCTGTGTCTCGAATGATCCCCTAGTCCTAGACTTCCTCAGCTTCAATGCCTTGACGCAAAACAACGTATTCCACAGCAAGTCATGTGCAGACAGGTCCAGGTCCAGTTTGAAAGGGAAGGATTTTCGCCAAGGTAATGGAGGAATGATGGAGGAAGAGACGCTCAGTGGAATTCAAAAAAGAGTTTGGGCGCCAAAAATGAAAGCGCCAGGCGGCAATCCGATTCGGAAGAGTGTTGATCTACCGACTCAGAGCAATACTCATACTTGAGCTACTGTCGAGAAGTTTTTCATTATGACCAGACACACCAGTGGGTATAGTTTCTTCCTACTCATACAGTTTAACAGTGGACGTTTGCGAGAAGCCCTCCAAAACTGGCCATAACTGCGAAAAAGGAACTGGTACAACTACTCCATAAATCCTTTCGATTTTTATGCCTATTTGGTATATTAACAATGACATCTGAATAGCACACATTCACTATACATGCAACTTGTATATGTTACTCAAATCCAGCTTGAGCAACGCAATTGCTAAGGCTGCTGTCATTCAGAACCTTACTCGGAATGGTGCCAAGGTTATCTCATATGACACTAAGGTATTGCACCATTTTATGGCTTATTCAAGTGTAACTCTGAATCTTTCATATAGAGATTTGCCTTGAATAGGCTTGGTTCAAACAGACAGGAGGTATCTGTCTGGGAGTATCCGGGCATCACCCAAGGCAAGCGCCTCACTACTGGATCAAACTGTCTTCGCTGGGAAAACTCTGAAGTTATGACTTCATCTGATCTAGTTCAGTATAACGTTCTATTCTGAAATTGCCGACTTCTTCGAATACCTCTCGTTACATTGGTCTCCACTTCCAATATGAAGTTACGTGAAGGTAGTCTTCAGTCTCAGTGACGCGCATTATCTCACAATGCCATACCGACCATTGTATCGGATCTCAACGTGTTCGCATCTATTTTAAAGCGAACAGGCTCACAGCTTCACTGGGAAATCCCTTTTGCTCTCCAGTCAAGGAGGTCAAGAATGGAATGGGATTCGATTCTTCAGTTTCCCGACTTCCAAGATAATGATTCACCATTCATGTACGGTAATGATGCGCCCATCATGCAAATGCCAACCCCTCCGGTAAAGCACATTCTTGCACTTTTTTTATCGGCTGGCATCTCAGATTAGATATAGACGGAGAAGTCGCAGAATAGTGATATTGCTTCCGATAGCGTTGAGCTTGTCTTGATATCGACTACATTCTCCGCTCATGCAAAATGGCACGCTCTTCCTCCTGACCTTGTGTTTGCGACGTCCGATTCTGTTCTTTTCTACGTCCACTCTCATATCGTCTTGGCAGCATCAGACAATCAATTTCACTCATTAATCCCGACTCCCTACGTAGATCAATCATCCAACTCCGTGATTTATGTCCTCGAGTCTTCCGAAGCGTTTAATATAATCCTTCATCTCGTATACAACATACCTTCAAGCCAGTATTCTCCTTCGTTTGATACCGTATCCGAGGCCATTGACCGACTTTCATTCTATGGGATAAACGCGAAGGCATACATCGCTGCCAAAACACATTTACATAACCTCGTTCTTTCCTTTGCGCCAACCTTACCCATTCAGGTCTACACGCTCGCCGCGAAACATGATCTTCTTGACTTGGCAATTCCCGCCTCTCCCCATCTGCTCTCATTCAATCTCGCTGCAATCAACCAGGAGATGGCAGAGGTCATGGGACCAATTTATCTTCGCAAGTTGTTTTTCCTTCATATTGGTCGTTCCGATGCTCTTAAAAGAGTGCGTGAGACTGATCATATTGTTCCGCCTTCGCTGATATTTGAATAGCTTCTACTAGAACCGCCCCATCCTCATCATCCCACTGCGGAATGCAGTTTTGAAGATCAAAAAAGATTGACCCGTGCTTGGGCATTGGCTTCAGCCTACCTTGCTTGGGACGCTCGACCAGGTTTGTATTTAAGACTCAACTCGCTATCGATGAACTCTCATCTCGGATCCTAAAGACCTATCGGCAGGAGCCTTGGAGTCGTGTTTTAAACCTTTGGCCAGTGGTCTAGTGTGCGACAATTGTAAAGAAGGTTTGCAGGCTTGCGTCAAAAATCTCCTCGTAAATTGGTCACAAGTGAAGGTATGTGATAGTCGACTAAAATTAACTCGGGGAGATTGACCCATAGTCCCCGACAGAACACTATTTGATCATAAATATCTTCATCCAAGGGTCATTAGGCATTATTTCGCAGTTATCGATATAAATAGGTAATTGGCCCTCTTTCCTTACCAGGTATCGAGGCTTGAGTTTGATAGCGGAAAAATATGGAATGAAAAATACAAACGGTCAAAGCTGATCATGTCGAGGGGCCGACTCGGAGGATCCAGAGATCAGGAAAAAGCTCAAAGCTCGTAGGATCATTTTTAGTTACTAGACACGCTCTAAAGCTGTGTCCGAAATCAAGGCTTCTATCGCCGCCGATTAGTTATTTGTACCCTAGTGTTTAGCTACAAACAAACTCTTAATTCATTGCTCCACAGTTATTCTCGGTACGTTTGTTCGGCCGTAAACACCATCATTGAGGTATGTTTTTCGAAAATTATGCCACACATAACTAATTAGCTGTAGGGACACGCATATTATCACAATGTACCTAAGTACTACCTGTAGCTCTACAGCTAACTCTTGTTACGGATCCCCGTTCCTCAAGACTTAGTACTTAGACTTGCGGTAAGTAATGAAAAGTCGGAAAAAATAAAAATTCTCACAATGTCTCTGCCGGTATGCCGCGGGCTATGTTAAAGGGTA